TGGACAGTGTCCTGGTTTCAGCCAGGATAGAATACATGTTTTACAAGTCTGAACTTGCTTCTGGAGCCCATCACATATGTCAGCCATGTTTCCCGAGGTGCAGTCAGAAGAAGACAAGCCAATAATGCTGCCTAGTCTCTCATCTAGTAACCTACAGGCTGGAGTACTCGGGATACAGGAGATGCATATTCAATTCCCTCACCTCTAGGCTGTGTGTGCCTGGGCCTGCTCTGCACACACAGAGCTCTGCCGAGTGTCCATGTATGCAGAAAGGTGGGTGCTCTTAGACATGGAAGATTCATGTACACCAGGTCTGGCAGTTCTGGAAGGGTAAGGCCTGCCTGGGGATGCCTACCCCACTGACTGCACGCTAACTAAAGGAGCTGGGCCAGCGTCTGAGGCGGCACCCGCTACAGCAATTCACACAACCTGCTCCTAGCCACTTCCCTTCCTCAGATGTTCCTCAAGAGATGGCAGGGAAGAGGCTGAAGGCCAGACAAACTGTTCCAGCAGAGGCAGCCTGTCCCTTTTTGCTGTTCTTCCCAGAAACCTTTTAACTTCCTGACACGTGACGATGCTGCAAGAACTACATAATCTCCATGAAAGTTCAGAGCTAGGAAACGTTGGCAGAGTAAGCCACTCAGGTGACAGATGAGGGCAGCAGGGAAGCACATCTGTGCTGGGGCCTGCTCAGCTCTCACATTACTTATTTTGCTTTCTTTACATGTTTTCTTCTAGTTTAGAGCTACTTCTTCATTTATAAGCTCCTTCATTCTGAAGTAAAATATTTTTCAGCACTGCAAGTGTTCACTGCTGGCACTAGCATCTATTACCTGTTCCTAAGTAATGTAATACTTCTCAATTCAATAAAATAGCTCACTCTCAATTATACATTCAAGCCTACCCAACAACCAGAACCAAGAGAAAAACCACACTATTCTTGAGAGATGAGATGATGCAGACAGCCAATGCTGATTATTTTCTCAGGAGGAAAACAAACGGACAATTCCCCAGATCCACCATCAGGGAACAAAATGGTAAATGCTCTAGCTAGAGAAGGGCGGATGCACTCTCTTCGTTTTAAGCAAAGTTCTGTGGCAGCAAATATCCAATTACCACAGGCGCTAAAGCTGCCAAGAACAAAAGGGTACGAAGTTTCTACCGTCGTGAAACACTGAGCAGAAAAGTATCTCATCTCATCTTTCAGCACCAGATAAAGGAGATTTTAGGAAAAGAGATACATAACAGCCAGAGAACCTCTGTATGAAATTAACAAGGAGAGAGGAAAGAAACATTTCACAATTTGGAAGGCTATTTTCTTTTTTTTTCCACAAATCAGTAAATTCCTTCTTAACACTTCCCCTAACAGGAAAATCATAGAATCACAGAATGGTTTGGATTTGAAGGGACCTTAAAGCTCATCCAGTCCCAACCCCCCCGCCAGCAGCAGGGACACCTTCCACTAGACCAGGTTGCTCAAAGCCTCATCCACCCTGGCCTTCAACACTTCCAGGGAGGGGGCATCTACAACTTCCTTGGGCAACCTGTTCCAGTGTCTCACCACCCTCACAGTGAAGAACTTCTTCCTAATATCTAATCTAAACCTCCCCTCTTTCAGTTTAAACCCATTTCCTAAATGAGCCTAAACTTACTTCATACACTTCCCCTAACTTAAAAGGCTGAGTTAATGACATCTCGCAGAAACAGAGAACCCATGTAAATTCAGGTTTGCTGGACATCTGCTATGTAAGAAGTTGAGAACAGGGTCAGCTTTATGGAGGAAACCGCAGTGCAATATTACCAGACTTCACTAAACAAGTCCTTTTTGCTGAATACACTGAAAGAATCTGCAAGTTAACCAGATACATTAATGGGCTCTAAGCTAATTTTACTGAGTGTTTTTCCTATTACTACTTTAATAGGAATGGGAAAGCCCACATTTATACATTGAAAACCTCATTTCTGTAAACTGAACTCTCGCAGTCTTAGGGGGAAAAAAAAATTAAAAAAAAAAAATCAAATTTCTGGCTGCTTTGTTAATGCCTTATATTAAAGGAATTCTGGAAGCCTAAATATAACACAAGCATGGAAATATTTTTCTTCTAATGCTATAGAGCACTACTCCAACCCAGGAATGCACAGCTTTTCCTGTATTCTGGATCATGCCCATTTACAAACCAAGTGATTATTCCAGATTCTAGGACAAAGAATCTTTCCACCATTTGGTTTATGTTTGCATGGCAATACCAGCTGGATGTGCAGATTTAATGAGCAAACATGTCCAATCTTACAGATTACAACTTTTTGCATATCTTGAGCATATTTCAAAGCTAGAGAAACATATGAAAGATTTCCTAAACAAATGAGAGGCAGATCATACAGCTAAAGCAGTTCTTCCAGTAGATGCTAACAATGTGGAGACATTTCTTAATTCTAAATTTGCAAAAGTACCTATGTATTCCATTACCAAAATGCAGTCACTGAGAGTGAACTTGTTTCTCATTAAAATAAGCAATGATAAAGGCACTCATGCAGTCATTTTCTGAAGTTCAGACTGTGCATTTCAGATGTATGCAGAACCAGGTTTCCAGATGCTGTGGTAACTCGGTCCACTGAGGTGCCACTTTGTAAGCATGACTGCTGACAGAGCCAGATAACAGAAGAGTTATTTGGTAAAAGAAAGGTGACAAAGACAAAAATTAATCCCCAATTCTTCATTTTCATGGGGATGAAGCTCCACTACTTCCTCCAGAGACTTGTCCAGCAACTCCACTAAACTGACATATGCTCACTTAAACCAGGCTTGTAGCAAGTTCTGATTTACAGCAGAAACAAGCACTGCTACTGGTGGTGCCAATTATTACCTGCCTAAATAGCTCAATGATCTGCAATCATTTAAAGTATAAGACGAATTCCATCAAGTATCACGGACAACCCGATTGCTACAGGAACTCTAGGGTGCTTGACAAGGTAAGGAGTGTCCCACTTCTAATTTAGTTCCATGCTGTCTTAGAATTAATACTAGCAATTGGAAACCAAATATTATTTTAACAAATTCTAAGTTACAACTTAATAATATATGTCAGAGAATCACAGAATGTTCTGAATTGGAAGAGACCCAACTTGATGACTTGGTCAACAAGTCTAACTCCTGACTCCACACAGGGCAACCTAGAAGTTAAACCATGTACCCAAGAGCATTGTCCAAATGCTCTTGAACCCTGACAGGCTTGAGGCCATGATCACTTCCCTAGGGAGCTTGTTCCAGCGCTTGACCATCTTCTCATTTCAGCTCATACTTCAGAAGAACTGTGTGAGATTCCAGACAGAAGTTGTTTTGAATAGTACCTTGCTAGTCATAGCGGTAAAAGAGTTTCACAGGTCTGAGTTGGGAGAAAACACACAAAAGAATGACACACAAGCAAGGTTGCTTCATTTTTATTTACTCAGCAAACATTTTCCCATGTGATTTTAAAATGCCATGCAAGACCTAAGATTATTAGCTACTGGCTGCTTTTTTGTGGCGAGGTTTTTTACTAAGAGGATAGTTTTTCCAGAAATCAAGACTGTTGATTTGTTAAGTTGCTAATTTCACCCACAATTAAATTATATTTACAACAGTGCATCTTACAGTTATTCTACAGAGGACAAGACTCTCCATCCAAAATTGCCCTACTCCCTGTCCCACACCAGGATTTCACTCTTTCAGTATTAGGGGTGCCTTCACCTGTTCGGCCACTTCCTTTCCCATCAGCGTTTCAACAATGGCCAACCCAAATTCAAAGCTGGTACCAGGGCCACGGCTGGTGAGGATGTTCCCATCTTTCTCCACACGGCTCTCGGAGTAGCAGTAGTGTGCTTGGGGGGGGGACACACAACAGAAAGAGGGTCAGCCTCCAGTCCAGTGCCCACAGCTGCCACAGAGCCTACACCTGCCTGCCTGCCGCAGGGCACTGCAGCCGCAGGCTACAGCAGCTGGGGAGTGGTGGCTCCCTACTGACAGCATCATGCTCCACAGAAGTTACTTCAGATACCTGCACGGGCAGCCTGCCTCAGGCTCTGTACCCCTGCCCCTCTGGAACCAAGCAGCTCATCGCTGCCTGCAGTCCTCACAGAGGAAAAGGGCCTGCAGGGAGCTCTGGCAGCTTATTCACATGGTATGGGAATGCACCTCTGAGTCTAGAGCTTGTCAAGAAGCGCTTGCTGTGCCTGTCAGTTCCCGTGAGGTTACTTTTGGAAGTCGAACTGCTTTTCTGTAGCTGTTCACAACTTTCTTTTCTCCAAATGCATGTAGAGGAAACTGGAGGAACCCTGCCACCTCCTGCTCACCTTCAGACTCATTAGTGTTCACAGAATGACTTCTTAATAGTGCTTCACCACCATTTCGTTTAGGTATGAGAAAGATGTGTGGACCCATCAGCTGCTCATAGCACGAAAGCACTACTCATGGGAGAGCAGGCAAGGTGCTGCTGGGGTTTGCTGCTGGCACCATTGAGGCGAAGAATCAAAGGGGCTAGTGGTGACTCAGCCTCAGGGGGCTAAGGGAAAAAGTGCTCCTAGCACTCCTAGACAGCAGCAGCATACTTTCCCCAAGGATGAGAATGTTAATACAGCCCTGTATTTTCAGGTTAAACAGACTTAGAAATACAGTCTTAGCATATTCAGTTGAATTTTGATTACATTCAGGAAAGCATTAAGGAAAATCACAGATACAAAAGCTATTTTCCTTTCTTTAAATCCAAGGTTCAGCTTAAAGAAAAAATTCTGAGAAGGGTTTAGAGAGAAACTTAGAAAAGTCATTACATACCTCCATTCATCATTTTATCTTTAGCCAAAGGATGTGTTGTGACTTTACTTCCAAACCCTATTCCATGTGCCAGAAGGGCAGTAGGACCTGTAAGAACACAAAGTTACATCAGTGAGGAACTGTTTTCTGCTACAAACATTTTTAAAAATACACTTTCAGGCACTAGGCCCTCAAAGGGCCAAAGCTTACCGTGGACAGACTATTTTTTATAAAATTGATGCCAGCTCTATCTCTGAAGCCAAAAGCCTCAAAAATAACAAAGCTGCATAATCTCTCCCATTCTATGCTCTGTGCAGAGAAATAAATGAAGAAAAGAGAAGTTTTACAGAACACCCAGTTCATACAGCTGTCCTACCAATGACTGGCTGCCTTTGAAGGAGTCAAGAACAATGGTCACTTCACTTCCAGATAATACATTTTATTTAAAACTGCTTAAAACTAAGTAACAAAAAGTTTGCATTTCAATATGGACATTCACTAGGTACAACTATTTTATGAACTTGTTAAGCCTTGAATTTAGAGACTTAACAGATAACATTTCAGCTGAGCAAGCCTTTACATGTTGCAGCTGTGTGTGTGCCAAGCAGTATTTTGGACAGATCATGGGCTAACTGCTAAGTTTTTGGTTTTAGCAGTCTTTCTCTTTTCTTTTCATACTTCCTCCTCGGCCTGAATTAAGGAAGGAGTTTGTGTCAAGAAGTCTTAAGTCATCTTACAGAAAATCCTTATGGGAATTCCAAAAGAAACTGAAGGCAGGATTTGCCTACTCTGAGTTTCATTTCTGTACATCTGATTCATTTCAGATATAGTCCAGGAAATAATCTTCTTTGCGTTCAGTTGGAATCAGCTCTAAGAAGCACAGTAAATAAATTAACCACCCTGGTTACAAGCAAAGGCCTTTACTGGGCAACCATGAATTTGCAATTGTTCTGCAAGAGATACGGACAGAGAAGCAGAAGACTGCCACTGCCAAGTTCAAGGATGTTCACAACTCTGTATGTGTTATCAGCTAACTGAAGAATGAAAAAAAAAAAACAACTCAAACCCAGCAACACACCAGAAAACCAAAGTGAAAATACACTCCACAAATACTCTGTTAGACTGTCTTTTACACACTCATCACCACTCTCCTCGTTCTCAGCTACGGGTGTCTAGGCCAGCCTCTCAGTTCAGTTGCAAGCCCTGGAAATTGTTCCCCTGGCTTTTTTTAACATACAAGTCTTACAAAGGAATGAACTGGATACCTAGCTGTGCAGAATATGTAAGCAGACAACTCTCTTCTCAGAGTAACTCCACCTTTTGCTAAGAAGGGTGAGCCTGTAATTCTATATTTACAGCCTTCCTTCTGAAGCTAAAGGGCAGGAGAGGAGATGTGAGATAAATTTATAGCAATGATGTTCTGCCAGCGCTGTGTCCTCGCAGAAAGATCACCAGAATAAGCAAATATTTTTAAAAAAGTCCTAGCACATTACCTTTCACTTTTGATTTTAAAACACAAATGATTGGAAAGAACTGGGTACCAAGCAGAACTTGCAGGCTAAGTGTTCACAATACTTTAGAGATTCCTCTAAATTTACAAACAAATTCAGATGCTGATGGGTGCACATATAATACAAATCCCTGCTACTAAATCACAGACATACAGACTTCTAAGACAGGAAACTGACTGCATGCCCCTTCAAAAATATGCAAATGCTTTAGTCTTGTTAACCCACCTGCACATATAGCAGCAATCAGTCCTTTTCTGCTTTCCTGGTCCTTCAAAATATCTTTCACAGCAGGAGACTGTATGAAGAAACCACATCACAAGTCATTGTTTGGGGTTGATTATTTGAAGCACGGTTGAAATACTTTCCACTGCAAAAATTTTACAAAGAAAAACAGCTGACAACTCTCCATCCTGCCTCAGGACAAAGGGCAATAAAGACACTAAGAATGAGGAAAACTGAAACCAGTAAATACTTGCCCCACAATGAAAGAGCAAGGAAATCAGAAGCAATTGCAAGGAAGTACTTAGCCTACATAAAAGCGGGTTAATCCATGGCCATAGAAAGTTGTTGCTCAAAAACGGCCTACATAAAAGCAGGTTAATGCTTTTCCATGGCCATAGAAAGTTGTTGCTCAAAAACTTCAAAAGACAAAAAGGAAAGTATTAATGCAGTCTCTGTCATGCTGAAGAAGATTCATACAGGATATTTGTCTCATATTCCAGGGCTTACAAACTGTGTGAGACCATCTAAATCCTATCTGATAGATCAACCTGTTTGTCCGCCAGCCTTCCACAAGGTATTTATACCACCACTACAACAGTTTTGCATCAGAGACAGAATTCTTGAGCAAAGAGAGAGAGTCCTGTGAGTTCATCCTTTTTTATATTTTATGGAAGTAAAACTTCATTTGCAACTGTTTCATCTTCATACGATTATGAACAGAGACCTTCCCACAATACAGAGCATCCTTCCATTTTTATTCTGCTTATTCTGCTAGGTACTCAAGTCCAAGAATTTACCCAGTTGTCCCACTTATATATTCACATGCAGACTTAAAACAATTAACAATTAGTATTCTTTTCTGAATGAATCAGTACTTTCAGATGCTAAACTGAATTTGCAGGATTACTAAGCAAGTGTAGACCACTCACTACTCATTAGGATGTTCATGAATGTTCATGAATTAGGATGTTAAGATACCAGAACTTTACCTCTGACAAGTTCTGAGCTCCAAGGTTACCCCCAGGCAGGACCACAACATCATAAGGCCCCTAAACAAACAAAAAATAATTTTTTTTCCGTTGAACAGAGGCCGGTTACACACATTATACTGTTTTAAGGCCACTACAGCTGAGTCCAGTGAGAAACAAAAGGATCTACCTTTTCTTCCACTGAAGAACACGTTACAATCAGAGAACCAGCTCCAATTACGGAACAAAATACCGTTTCCTATTCCAGGAAGAGCCCGTTATTGATAAAGTTGGCTGCAGAACTGACTTTTAAACCTAATGCATTTAAGAGCTTCAGCAAGCAACTGCAGCTCCTGCATTGTAAGGACAAGCAGTTTTGCTCCAATCTTACTGTACAGGTCTAACTCTAGCATTGGTTAGCTTCCCATCAGAACTTTTCAGTTGATCCAAATCACTATTTTGTTGGGTCAACTAACACACTAATTCTATGTTTGATGCTTTACAAAAACAGATACCTGTGCAGAACTGAGAAATCTGTCTGATCCTAGCATGCTATGAAGCAGGACAACACTTGAAGGGGAGCACAGCAGAATGTGCAGTCCTGCGATTCACTACTACGTGGAGCTAATATAACATCCAATGTATTTCTAAAGATAATGCATAAGCTTCCCAAATTCACCTCTGAAACTGTGACAAAAGCTATGTTGCCCATGGTATCAGACCAGGGTGATGACCAACCTCTTTTCTGGCATCTTCAAGACTGGCATCAGGACAAATGAAGACATCTCGACTGCACTGTACTGGTTCTTTTCCCGTTAGGCCTGCAACAGTCACCTTGATCTAACAGAAGAATACAGGTATCGTTACAATTCAAGAATTGAGGGCATGCATTTTTCTTATATCTAAGTTCTTAAGTAATACACAGAATGAGCAAAGCACTACTGAAAGCTGTCAAGAACGGGGCAACACTTAAGCTTCCCCAAACCATGATTAAGTCCAAATGCAGAAGGTAAGCAGTGGTATTCACCTAGAGATTAAAAAATACCTGTAATAGCTTGGCTTTCCAAGCAAGACGTTTAGAGAATATCTGATTACACAGGTTTTAAACAAAACAAAACAATTCAACCCAAGAGAGTCGGACTAAGTAGATCAGATAACGAATTAAAGTTTCTCTGCAGGCTCAAGCCATTCTCAAACACGCTTACAAGTTTTCTCCCTTGACTTTTAGATGCCTGGTCATAATATCATAAATGTTCATGGCACAGCTCACAGTCACTAAATAAGCAGACAAGTTTGTGCTTCTTACGGCAGCCAAAATGGGGAGCACATTAACGGAATGACAAAGGTGGTGGGAGAAAGTAAGTTTTATTTTAGTCATTTCTATATACATGAAGTTAGTGCATTCATGTAAAATCTTATTTTCATACCTAATCAGATGATAAAACTGTGTACCACTACAGTTGTAGAAGTAAAAGCAGCGTGAGGAATCCCACCAGACAGAATTCTAGTTAATAACAGAACTTTAAAAGGAGCTCAAGAAAAGCTACGTAACGTCAGAAGCCACGTAACGAACTGAGCTGTTCAGACCCCTACAAAAAAAGCATTTCCTGTTACTATGCATGGGAGTAGTCATGTTTTCTGACAGGGTAAGATTTACTTGAAACACTTGCTCTGGTCTACGTTAGGCTTGTATTTTAAAAGTTTATATTTAGCACAGATGTAATTTGTCATGTATGCCTACTTGGGGCTTATTTGCTAGCCAGTAAGAAGGCACAGGTAAATTGTCACCTCATACAACAGACTACACCTTGAACTCCTAGCAACGCACACCAACTTGAGGCAAAGATTTTCCCTTGTCCAAGCACTCACAAAAAGATTTATCACTGTCTGCATACTCACCCCAGCTCTTCTCATAACATCAGTGGGGATTACAGTTTCCATTTCCTCTGCTCCTTTTGCTAGAATCACCAATGCCCTTTTCGAGGCCATTATCTTGAGTGGTTGCTATTAGGTGAGATGGTGGTGAAGGGAAGGGCTGAGGGGGATAGAAAGAAACAATATGGTTAGAAGGCAAATCCCCTAGTACAAATCCTTTCTAATAGTAAAGTTCATCAGTGAGTAATTTGCATTTTTGCATTATCTTTTATTTAAGCCACCTCAAAACGATTCACTAGCTTTAATTAATAGTCAGAGCAACCTCATTTAACTAAAGAGCTTTTTACAAAGAATGCATTATGATATTAAAGGATTAAGACATTTGTACAATGGGAGGGACAATACATTAGCACCAGAACAGAAAGCAGCTTGGCCTAATCAAGACTTGACATTACTTCAGTCTGCTAGAGAGAAGGGTTCAAGGTGGGTGGCAGAGCTGTTTTCAATTTGCACACCCTCAGTCATACCCAGACTACGGACTCCTACCTAGGTTAGCATTTATAAGAAGGGCTTGCATGAGCTTTGACCTCATGCCTGGTATTTAGTTTCCAGGCATCGTGCTTCATTAAGAGTTTCCTGTGACTTACAATGACTCGTCCAGTGCCCCTGCAAAACCTGAGCAATAGATTTTCTGGGTATTTCACAGTTTTGTGGGGGAGAAAAGTGTAAGCACATGTGTGATGGGGGAGCAGACCACAGAATTTAGCAAATGGAACAAACTAGGCTTAAGGCTTTTTTTAATGTCCTAAATTCAGGTTGAGATGAATGGCTAATTTTCCATTTGAAGGTTAGGTTAAAGTAACTTTAACTACATCATGTAAAATACACACTAACTCACGCTGGTCTGACAGAAGCCTGTGAAAGCATCTGTGGTCTGAGAAGGCATTTTGCAGGTCATCCACTCTATGAGACAGGGATTTTTTCCTGTGTCAGGACTTTCCATTCAGAAATGCATGTAGCACCTGGGAGCTCTTCATAAAACGAGATCCATGTTTCACTGCCAACATGAAAGAAAACCATCCCCTCATCCTGCTTCAACTTCATCTCCTTTCAGATTCACTCCCTACTGTCAGTCTCATTTAGAAAGATGCTATTTCTAGAAAGCAGTAATACACAGTAGAACATCCTGCAGCATGCAGAGCCAGCCCAAGCAGACTAATTCAGTGTGTCAAATCCTACCTTTAGGGCAGTTTTACATACTGTCAAACACACAGCCAATTGAACAAGTACACTCAAGTCATAGGTATTAGCAATAACTTCAGGACAATCTGTGTGTATTCCTGTAAAATCTTGGAGCTTCTTAATAATTCATCTTGAAAGTATACATTGATCCTGCAAAACTGATTTCTGTATGACTTGACTAACTAGCAACAGACTACCCAAACAGCCACAATGCAGAAATAGCGCATTTGCTTCTTATTGGAGAAAAATACTCTAGATCACAGCTCGTATTCCTCTCTGTCATTAGTTCTTTAGCCGCAAATAGGCACTTGATCTCCTGAAAGCTTTCCTCTTTCCCCTAAGTTAGCAAAATGAAATCTCTTTCTACCATCCTTAGACATTTATTGTAACAGACTGGCAAATTCTGGAGCGTTAGTACCGTCCGTATGTAAATAGCTGTCACGCTGTAAATGCTGCCGGGGCAAGATTGTTTTCCCGAGAAGGGAGAACCAAATGATACAGAGATAACAACCACTTCATTTAACGAGCTATCCAAGCGGGCTGGCTTGAAAACACTCACACCGCC